CTCTCTCTCTCTCTCTCTCTCTCTCTCTCTCTCTCTCTCTCTCTCTCTCTCTCTCTCTCTCTCTTCTCTCTCTCTCTCTTCTCTCTCTCTAGTTTAGGGCCTCCCACTGGTTCAAGAATTTAGGGCTCGTCTCTCGACCAATTACAGAGATCAGAGAACCATAATTTAGGGCTTCTCTGGTTCTCTCTCCTCACTCTCTCCTCTCTCTACTTCCTCTCTCTTCAAAAAAGGGGGGCGTTATTATATGTGCAAGCCAGGTGGGGTCAAGCACAGCAAACGTTGCCGGTTTTTCCGGTGAAGCGACCGGATTTTGCCGGTCCTTTGTACTGAATCCGTAGTGAAAAAGGAAAACTGACCATAATGCCCCAACATTTCTGGAAATGGCATGAGCACCCGCAGAAGGCGCTTTTGTGTATTCATTTGTACATGGCAAATTTATAAATAGGAAAATATAGAATGAGACCATTCACCTTTATTTTTGTATAAAGTGGTCACAATTAATTTTGATTATTAGATGAAAAATTTGGTGACTACATTTATTACATTGACTAAGTTCAAAAACATTTTTCGAAATGGTAGAAGCACCTTCAAAAGGCGCTTTTGCGCATAAGCACAATAGTCCTCGAGTATTCATTTATACTTGAGAAATTTATTGAAAAGAAAGTATAGAATGAGACTATTTACTTTTGTACAAGGTGGTCATAATTAATATTAACCATTGAATATAAAATTAGGTGGCTGCATTTATTCCATTTACCGAGTTCAAACTTCAAAATAAATTTTCTTAAACTTTATGATACACCCAAATCATCAAATTTCACATCAGATGGTTGTAAGTAATTATGACATGTTTGTATCAAAGGTAAATGGTCTCATACTCAATCTTTTTATTAAAACATCTATAAGAGGTAAAAGTTGATATGGAAAAGGAAAATTGTTTCATGCGGGTTGGACCAAATTTCCTATATACGGTTCAAAATTGTAAAGCAGCATCCATCTTAAAGATGGATGCAAGTAGGTGGTCCTTCTAAAAACAATGGAAACGAACGGTCCAAATGCTTTGTTAATGGAATTATTATCTCTAGTTTTTAAAATTTATCTATCTTTTCATATTCACGATCTCCATGTTAGAGATTACATGTCTTTAAAAATTAAGTCCAAAAACCCATCTCAAAAATAGATTTTTAAGAGGGGCTGCATTTCTACATGTGCGGGCTTGGCCCACATGCTAACCACGTCCTATGGAAAGACATACCATGATACTGTTATTTTTATTACATAGAGGTCACAATTACTCTTGTCCATCGGATTTTAAAATCAAGTGGTTGCAAGTATGTCATTGATTAGACTCGAAGTTTTTTAAAAAAAAATCTCAAACTTTGTAATATACATCAAGCCATCCAATTTCACATCTAGTGACTAATAACAATTGTGACATCCTTGTTACAAAGATCAATAATCTCATAATATACAATCATAGTTAATATTTTAATCATTTATAATTGTTCCAACTCAAGATCATGTATTTTTTATGGACGTTACAAGATGTGCCATTATTAAAACTTAGAATCCCTTTCTTTTTCGATTTCCATATATGGTCAAATAGAGGGTTTTTCATCATTGGAACAACCTTTTTCTTTAAGCTTTTTTATATGTACTTACTTTTATAGTTCATTATATAAACTTTTTTCTAATTGTATTAAGGTCAAGCCCCAAAATAGCGTAAAATAAATGGTGCCAACTCAAGCCCTATAATGGGTGCCAACTCAGGCACCTGATGATTTGAGTCAAATCACTAATTCACGAGTCAAGTGGTCAATTCAGTCTCAAGAATCATCTAGTAAAAGAATAACAAAGTCACCTAAGTCCCAACAGTGATCAGGTGGTTCACTGTAGTGACTGCTCTACTCTTGGGGTCCTTTTAGAGCCGCAACCACCTTGGGTCGGATTCGGATGGATCAGACTCGAATGTTTTCAAATCAGTTGGCCTATTCATGAATCACCAATACGAAATCCGACCCACTCCTATTCATCATTTTTCATTTAACTAAATTGATTCTTTAGATTTGTAAATTATCTAATAATACAAGATAAAATATTAAAAGAAACTGATTATATCTATTTTTAGTTTGTAGTATAATTGATTCATGTATTTTTGTTCAAAAAATAGCTAAATATTGCATGATGCGTTCCACTATTATACAAAAGATTGTGGGTATTTTTGTCATTTCGTACCAAATTATCCAAGTGTGCCAACGGATTTAACCAGAGCGGTAAACCGTTGTTGGCATTGCACTTTGTTTGTCCTCAAGTTAAAAATGACCTTTTCACCCCTCTTTTCTCTGCTAAATAACCAAAATCTCTTCCGGAAGGAAAAAGTTATATATGGACGAGGTTCTAAACAATCAAATTCGAACCTACCTCAAAAATTGTACTCTAAAATATTGTTTTGATGTTCAAATATCTTCAAATTTAATATCCTGATATAAAGCACTTTTGAACCATCAAATTTTAAGATTTTCAAGTTTTCATAGATCTCTAGATCTACATTATTTTTGAAGCTTTAAACTTTAAGAAAAACGTTATATAAATTTGCAACCTTAAAATGTAAAATCACGGATGCACCTCAAAAATCTATTGGAAATGTTTATCGATCATCTCGACATTGAGATGTATGAATATGAAAAAAAAAAAAAGTTTTTAAGTCCCAAAATTAGTGCATCTTGCGACACATTATCTAGACCGTCCATTTTCAAGATTTTCATATATTTATAGATCTACTTGATTTTAACCATTTTTTGAAATTTAAAATTTCCTAATTAGGTATAAAAATAGATTTTAACATAATACTAAGAAGTTTTTATGATAAAATTTTATGGTGCGCCTAAATTGGATTGTTTAAGGTTGCATCCTTATAGAAACCGTACCCTAAACTTTATAAATAAATATGAAAATATATTTTAAAGCTATCAAAAATATTTTTGGTATTGAAACCATATTTCTTCACACTATTTGAAGGTAGGCTATAATTTGATTGTTAAGAGTCTAGGCTCTATACAAACCGCATCCATTACAGATAGGTCTCCAAATTGGAAACAGGAAAAAGTCTATGTAAGGTTTCAACCTCATAGTGTCTATTGTGCACCTAAAAAACCCCAAGTGAAAGCTGTTCATGTGCTGGAAAACCTACTTTAGCTAATATAAAAAGGGAAAAGTTTATATAGAGTCGAGGCTCTAAACAATCAAATTGGAGCCTATTACAAAAAAATTATTAGAAGAGGTCGTTTTGATGTCCAAATATCCTCAAATTGATCATCTCGACATCAATATGCATGGACAAGAGAAAAGAGTAGACTTTAAGTGTTGGAAATAATATATTTTGTAACACATTTTTTGACCGTCAATTTTCAAGATTTTCAATAATTCATAGATCTGTCGATGTACACTGTTTTTTAAGCTTTCAACATTATAAATAAAGTTGAAAAATATTTTAAGGCTATCACAAAGATTTATAATATTTAAACTATATTTTTTAACATTATTTGAAGGTAGGCTCTAATTTGATTATTTAGAACCTAGGCTCTATACAAACCCCACCCATATAAAATATATATTAATTGTTGTTCCAAAAACTCCACCCATTTTTTTTTATTCTAAAAAGCGTAGGAATTGCTATATATGGAATATAGAAAGATTCTTGACACTCTTCGCTATATATGGAATATAGAAATTAAGAACCGTAATGGGATTCCTCGTCCAATCAATAGTTCTATTGAATTTTTCATATTTTTCCACTCTTTGCTTTCTATAACTCATCTTTCTACTTAAATAATGGGGTCATCTGAAGTATCATCTGATTGGTGTTCTGTTTGTCACAAATCAATCATTTCGACCTCGAGATTTATAAATATGAAAAAAATAACAGATTTCTAGTCCAAAAAATAGTTAATCTTCTAACACATTATCTAGGCCATCTATTTTCAAGATTTTCAAATATTTATATTCTACTTGATCTTCACCAATTATGGAACTTTAAATTTTATAATTGGGGACAACAATATATTTACATATTATCACAAGGCTTTGTGGGGCCAAAACTACATTTTGACATAGTTTTAAGGCATACCTTACTTCAATCGTACAAGGTTGACGCCTTATACAAATCTAACCCAGGAAAAATGGATGGCATTTTGGATATAATATTCAGTGCTACCTCGGGAGCATAGTATGCTTATAGGTTTTTTTTAAAAAATAGGTAAATACTTGAAGGGGTTTTTTCGATAGGAGATTTTAGAAACTATTTGAGAATTATTAAATAGTTATTCTTAAATAGATAAATAAATAAATAAAGAGCTTTCTAACAATTAGATCTCACCATCAAAAAAGTGAATGGTCTCTATTCACTCTCGGGCATTATTTTTCTCAAGTACATACAATTAA